AAAATGTAATTATTTGAAAATTTTACTCGAATATTTACATTAAGAGAGTAATTTATAAATAACGGCAATAACGAATTTTCTTTTAAATCTCAGGCTAAAAGAATAACCATGTCATAAAATACGTTGAATTTATTGACAAACTGCAAAAAAAAAATATCATACATTAGTAACCAAAATTATGTTTTTTAGTAAATGTAAATCCTGCTGCATACATTTGATTTTTAATATAGGGTGTCGCCATGGTGCCTGAACACCATTCCATATAGAATATCACTGAATGTACTGTACAACGATCGACAGACAACAGGTACTGAAAGGTTGCAGTTGTATTTAGAGTTGCGGCATGGTAGGGATCCGTGCCACATGCAAACTGCACCCAAGACAGACACGCGCAACGTAATATCACCTTATAGTCTATTTATCGTCACTTGGCACCTACTGTAAACAAAGATTTTGTCGTATTAATCCGCCGGAAATTTTCATTGGTCAAATCACAAGCGGAAGTGGGCTAGACACGTGTTGACCAGTTAAGCCCCTTTCTCTGCACGTGTTAAAATAGAGTGATCACAATATAAGAATTACACAATTTAAAAATTTAAACAGGGGGCGGCATAATCGGTATTGCACAAGGGCGTTCAAACTGCTAGCGGCGCCCCTGATACCTGTGACAAGTAATACCCAAATCTGGCTCACTACTTCCAGAAGTCAACAGGACAATCAAACTGGTATGGTCTAATGTGCTAGTTTACCGTAATCTTCAAGTCTAGAATGACAATCCACCTGAAGAAGTTTACAAGTTACCATTTTAAATTACGTTTTCGAATTTTTATCCTAATCTGGGGACATTAAAAGAAACTACGCCAACACTACACTTACATATCCACGGAATTTTTCTCGTTTTTCTATCATTCTGAGTTCGGGAGGTCTCAAAACATGAGGATTTGCCAAATCTCGTGAATTAAATTCGACACGATTCCAATACATTTTCTTGTTACACATACGTAACGACTGGGAAATTATAAGTAGATGTTAGACTTATTTCTTATCCTACTTTATCTGCGGTAGTCCGGCTGTCGTGCGGGAAAAGTAGTGTTTACCCCGAGTTGGTGAGGTGAAATTTCATTCTATTTGCAGAAAGGAAAGAGGAGTAAGTTTNTAAGACTATGGCTTGGGAATCACAGATTTGCATAACGTTACGGCTGGTGATGGCTAATTGGTCGGCCGGGAATCACGCCACATGACATTTGCATAGTGCTACGGTTCAGTAAGCACTAATTGGTCATCGAGTCCGATATTGACGCTATAAAAAGGCGACAGTTCGACACACCGGATATACGTCACTCTCGTCTAAGTTCGACTTGGGAATTTTGTTCAATAATAAATGTGAATTCTTCTTCATGGAAAAAATAAGACATTCCCTGAAAATAAGACCTAGCGCATTTTTCAGAGCAAAAATTAATATAAGACATTGTCTTATTTTCGGGGAAACACGGTACTATGCACTTTGCAAATAAATTTCAAACAACTGTTGCACTTAGTAGCATATTTACCATCTTTTTTTCCAGCACAAAATGACAACGTACTCTTTTCAGGAGATTTCGGTTTGATCTAGCAATTTGTATGATATTATCATCTGTTAGCAGTTCAAATGATTTTTTGGTAGTCATTTTGAATTTTTGATGCAAGGTTGAAGATCTCTTTGCAAAATAATTGTAAAAATAAAAAAAAACATAAAAACACATTTCCACAAAAAACCAACGTAACTGGTATCATGGGGGCTGCGCGGCTCCCAAAAGGTACGTAGCTCCACCCTTGTAAGTGCTACACGGCCGAACATTTGGCACTCGCTAAGAGTCGCGACATAATGAGATTACATAGAATGGCAGCTGCACACAATATTTAAATTTTAGAAAATCGTAAAAATATGACGCGTGGGGCTCGCGCGGCCACCAAGAAACCAGTTAAGGGTTAATGTCATATTTGTGACTATAGAAATATTTTGTATTTGAATCATTAAGCCACTTAATGTAATATGGAAGAATACGTTATTAAATCAGCAAACAATGCCAACTTAGATGCATCAGTGGCACACCATCCATTTCTGCGGAATGGTCTGCAATTAATGCACGCCACATTTCACATACAAATAAGTAAATACGTTGTGGCACGTGACGCAAATCTCATTTATACGCTTTTATCATTTGTATTCACCTGATCTTCGTTAGTAAAATGTCAGGAGACTTCATACTTACCGGATTTAGCTTCACAATTTCATTAAAAACATGGTTCTACTAGAAGCTCTTCATCCATATTTTAGAGTATTGAAAATTATGAGAATTTACATCCACCGATCAACTAATGTGTTATGGTTATGAAGGACAATGTTATTATTCTATTGACATTTTTTATTTACAACGATAATTTTATTGTTTATTCCCATCGAAACGACGAAATACTTCACCAAATTCCATTTAATCCCGGAATTCTGTGGCGTGCCGAAATTGCAGAATTTTACAAACAGTAATGTGCTTTGCCTGTGTTGTGTGGTGTTTGTCGTTCCGTTTCTATTTTTACTCGCGTGCACGAAATATGGTTCGGTTCTTATTAACAGCATGAAAAGAATCGACGATAAGATCAAATGTGCGAAGAATATGATGACAGATTTCCTCATTTACGTCGCTCTTATATTTTTCTGTTTCAGTTTTGTTAATTTGGTGATGATTTTGTGTTTTGTCGTTAATCACAAAAGTCTCATAGGAACAAAGGAAAATAAGTAAAACACACCTCAACCATCTCAGATTCGCTAACGATATTGCGCTGATAGCTAAAGATCCTGCAGAATTACAAAAAGTAATCTGTGATGTAAATGCAAATAGTAATGAAATCGGCCTTAAAATGAACTTGGCGATAATAAAAATTATGTACAAAAAACTACTAGACAATCATGACATAATAATAAATGACACAACACAAGAAACGGTAGACGAGTATATATACCTGGGAGAAGTAATACCCAAATCTGGCTCACTACTTCCAGAAGTCAATAGGACAATCAAACTGGTATAGTCTAGTATGCTAGTTTTCTGTAATCTTCAAATCTAAAATTCCAATCCACCTGAAGAAGGTTACAAGTTACCATTTTAAATTTCGTTTCCTAATCTTTATCCTATCCGGAGACATTAAAAGAAACTACGCGGACACATACACACACATATCCACGGAATTTTTCTGGTTTTTCTATCATTCTGAGTTCGGTAGATCTCAAAACACGAAGATTTGTCAAATCTCGTAAATTAAATTCGACACGATTCCAATACATTCCATTGTTACAAAAACGTAACAACTGGAAAATTAAAAGTGAATGTTGGACTTATTTGTTATCTTACTTTTCTGCAGTAGTCCGGCTGTTGTACGGAAAAGGTAGTGTTTACCCAGAGATGGTGATGTGAAATTACATTGTCTTTGTTTGCAGAAAGGAAACAAGAGTAAATTTTAACAATAAGAAGAATATATAGTTTTAAAATATCATTTCTGCTACTTTCTCTAAATTGACAACGTAAATGCATAGAACGAATAAAATTATTTTTATTCACACCATGGATTCACGTTTAAATATAAATAAGCAAATAAAAGAAATTTATTGTTAGAATATTCTATTTCAATGATTCTCAGGTGAATAAATAATGAAATTGTGAATGAAATTATGTTTGTAAAAAAATAATCAGTTTTCAATTCGGAAAGATGGCGTGATGCAATCTTTCCGAATTTCTAAAAGAATTACTGCTTTTAGAAAATTGTTAAGAATATCGATTTTGTCAATGATGGTATATGGCAATAACTATAATACACAACTTGTTCAGCACACTAATTATCACATGCGTTTTAGTCATTCAAATTCTTTAAATGTTTTAATATTTACTGTCGAAAATGATAAATATAACTTAATGGATTTTGAAATTAGATTAATATAAAATTTCCATTATGTCAATCAATATTCGCATATTTTTATCGCAGCGAATGAAAATAGAAAGATAGCAAGGGAATAAGTACTAATTTTGCATGGATAATAGAGATGTAGAACATCGAGGAAACGAAGAAAAATTTTTATTTTATTTTTTGAGGCTACCGGTCAGTATAAATCTATTAATTCTTCATGGAATATTCTCTTTTAAATACAATTCGTCCTTATCTAAACGTTTTACGCGTCATTGGTGTATTTATACCCAAGCGCCAGGATTATTTATGAGTTAAAGCGCTTTTATTTGATGCATACTTTATAACGATAATTTCTATTTTCTTCTTTTATCCGGATCATTTATCAAAGATTTTTATAAATTCGCATATCGATGATTTCTGTGGCATTCCCGTTTTATGGAATATCTACGGAAGGAATTCACGATTGGTATTATTAGTTCCACTTTTGATGTCTCCGTTCTTTCTTTACCTGTATAATACAAATGCATTTCACATAATAAAGGCGATCAAACTGCTGGACGAAAACGTAAAATGCGTGAAGAAAATTCAACCAAAATTACTGCGTTATCAAGACTTGGTTGTAATTTCTTTCTGCTTGGTCCAAATATTTTCGTGTTTGTCAGTTGGCACTGTACATGTGTATTACAGGAACGTTTACGGATATTCTGGATAAATTATTCTGGCAAGAAAGTTTCTGTACCTTTCATTTTTCATTCGGCGTTCTCATCAACGTCAGCGTGCTTTGTTATAGCGCCGGATTCATTTGGATTCTTACTTACATCTGTATTCAATTGTTAGATATATTTATTATAGACATAAAGGTAAAAATAAAAAGGGACGATGTTAATAGCAAGACAATGCTACTGGAACTGTCGTCGATTGTATCTTTTATTAAAAGAACAGATAAAATATTCAAAACTATTCATGCTCTGTTGATAACAGTTTTAATTCCCATAATCAGCATCGTAATTATATATGTGGTACTTTACGTATCGTTTACATACTTATATCTGTTGATATGCTTTACAGTCTTTTCGACATGGATTGCTTTTTCAATATATTTTCTTTACTTGACAAGAATTCCTTCGAACGTAAGTTACTTTCATTTAACAGAAAATTTGTAAATTTATGTCTCCTAACCACATGAATTGATTAAGAACAATTATACAATTAATATTTTTCAGATGGATCGGTTTTTCACTTGTATAATGGACATTTATTTCCTTGACGATGACAACAACAAAATCGTAAATACTATTTCATAATTTTAAAATTGAATATTTTACTTCGGTTTGCATGAAAATTTGTCTCCTTTTTAGTACATTTTAAATAAAAATTCGCGTATCGACAATACAATGAAATTTGTTTTCTTTGTTCTCAGACAGAAGTATTAATGTCCATATCGAGAGCCGAAGTGGGATTCAGAAGCAACAATTTCTTTTTCTTCGAGAAGCAAGCGGTTTTAAGTGTAAGTTTAATATCTCATATATTATATTATAATAAGGTTTATTGTTTCTATTGTTGTTTATTTATATAGAAAACGGCTTGTATACAAGCAGCTTTTTATAAAAAAATATCTGTTTTGTTTCAGTATACTCTCGAATTCATCACACAATTAATTGGATTCATTATAATAAGAAGTAAATCTATCATAAATTAGTGCGTATCCCACCGAACATGTCACTGCTTTGTGACTTCGTAAACGAAAAATTCTGTTCGATGCTTATTGCCAATGTCAGTTAATATTGGAGATTTTGAAATTAGACGTGACGTTCGTATTATCAATGTCATCTATTATTACGTCATCATTTTCAATGCCGTATCTCGAAGGGGTTGAGACTGGAGTAGAATTTCAGAGGCTTTGTTCTACTGAAGCTGAATTCAAATGTTAAGTTGATTGTTAGAAAGTTCTTCTTTAATTATTTTGGATTCAATAAAATGTATAGACGCATTTTACTGTGAAGGAAAAAATGGGAGTGTTGTTACGTGTTACGACAACGCAATTGCTTCGTGTGTTTAGAATTTCTTTTAACTTCACACACGACGAACAATGCTCAGTTATAGAGAATGACTATTCGAACCAATTGAAAAACAAAGGAGTTATATTTTTTCATAGCACGAAAAACTTGGCAGGAATTGACATCCATCAAGACTGGAACAGGTGAAATTTTGGAGAAAAAAGTTAAGAAAACTGTTTAATATTATTTTAAAGCGTTTTGTTTATCAGCATTAATTAAATAATATTAAACACAGGCGAATGACATCTCTGACACGTAACTAGAAGTCTCTTTTGTAGGAATGTGGAGTATGAAACAAATCCGATCTCATTGTCCTTATTTGTTCACCAGCGGATAAAAAACTGTACATAAAGTTTGCTCCATTCGAAAAGAGTGCAACCGATAGAAGTTTTTTGCACCATTTGGTGCAAAAATTTTGTTTTTAGCACACCGAACAGAGAAATTGTGTCTGCATCGGCTAAACGTGTGTGCAAATATGTTGATCTGTAATAGAAATTTCAAAATTGTAACAAAGTGAAAGCCGAACTCTACTTATCGTACTTTTGTGCTCGGAAGAAAAATGGACAACATCCACGTATCATCATTGTGATTTTTATAATACGCAAGATGATAATAGATAAAGATTTACATTACTTCAATTATTTTAAAAATCACTTTCTGTATTGGAAAACAACAATTTTACTTGTTATTTGTTTATTAAAGTCTACGACTCGTGTATCACGTATGTAAATTTTAACACAAGTATCAGATAAAAAAAATACATAAATAATAGTAATATAGGTTATGTATAATTAAGAAGATACATAGATAATAGTGAGATAGAATTAGAACGAGCAAACGCACGTAGTACTGGGATATCAGTTATTAAAGATATTTTAATAGATATGAGAGATGTGTTTTTAAGTACAGTACATATAATTATTATAATGATGTATAGGCGTTATTATTGTTTAAATATTAAGTGTTAATAAAACAATGAATATCTTGTCTGATTAGAAAACTGTATTTTAGTGTATTCCCTATAACAAATTACGTAAAGACGTCTGAGAATATTGTCTACAGAAATTATAGAAAGCAAAATTTTATATCTTATTCCTATGGAAATATTCTTTACATAATCCGTCTCCAGATACAAAGTTTATAGTAATGTAGTTAAATAATCGAGTTGTAAACAGCAATATAGGCTATATCTAACAAACATTTCCTAATAATTTTAATATATATCATGCTGCAAGAACCGTCAAGGTCCAAGCAACGAATGTTTTTCTTCGTTGACTTTGTATACAAGTTTTTCGGATTATTTTTTACGGTTTTTTAAGACAATTTTTGATGCTTAATATTTTGTATTTGAGATATATTAATAATAAAGTTTATTAAAAATATAATTAGTATAATCTTAATAATCCTTACTATTATATATCTATATCTATAAATAAAATGTTTGTTTGTTTATTATATATTTCTATACCGTTCGACTAACTGCTAGGAAACTCAGTAGTTTTATTTAAAAATCTTCTAACTTAGATTATGGCGTAATTTTACCCCCAATTACACATTGGATTTCTATATATCAATTAATTTCAGTTTACATTGTATTTGCTAGATTTACATATAGTGTAATTTGTTGACAAATTACAAATAAACACTTATTCTTACCTCAGTGATAACGCATCGGCGGTTTTCGGATTGTTTGGTTGCAATTTGGAAACATTCTAGACCTATGGATTTGCACTGTTATCTGACCCTCGCTCCTGTTCTAATCTCGACAACGGAGTTAAATAAATAAAAGACGAGAGCAGATATGGAAATCTTAGGTGCAAAAGGCCCGATTAATTAAATATGAACTTTCGATTTTCTTCGAAAATTTAAATTGAAATGACATAACTTTCGATTTGCTTCGAAAGTTATGTCATTTCAATTTAAATTTTTTCTTCCTCAACTTGTTAGATAGATTACAGGAACGACTCTGTTGTTATAGGAAAAGTATCATGTACTGTACAAGGTAAAGGCCACTACTAATTTGAGATGGACAGCACATTTTAAATTAAATACACTAAAACTATGATTGAAAATTGCAGCTTGGCACTGTAACGATGCCACAATAAATAATTGCTTGTCTGGGTAAGAAAGGTATTAGAAAAGGCATTATTTCCATTGTAACGAAGAGTTTTCAAAACAGAATATTCTTAGCGAAACAGGAAGATTTAGAAACAAATAGTGCAGGTATTAGACTTTATTACGTAAGATATTACCATCAAGCTACGGACATTACGCATACTAAAGATAAGTCAGAAATACGACTATATCAATATGATGAATTCTTTAAATAATCACAAAACTAACAATAAATTTATTTGACCTTTCCTAATTAATCTGAATTCTGTCATTCGCAGTTAAGCTTTTAAAGTATGATAATAATTTTTTATATCCGAGTCGTTGGTTTTAATGTTTAACAGAAATATAATTTCATTAACTTTAAAACATCGATTTAAACCCGGTATTAAACATACCGTGTTGCCGCAGGGAAAGAATTAAGATGTGGGATACTGTAAGTCAAATGGAGTTTTGCACACATACAGCATAATTGCATTATTTCAAACCAAATTGTTTCGATCGTATCAATTAATATTCTGAAATTTTAGTACTTTAGTAATTAATATTTAAAATGTCTTGCAAGATTGTAATTATATGTTTTGTGATGTAAATAATATAGTCTAGTACAGGGGTGGCCAACATACGGTCTGCAGGCCGGATCTGGCCCGTCTAATGAATTTATGTGGCCCGCGTTTAATTTTTCAATATCCGCTGTTCAATTCCGAATAGCTTGATGAAAAATTCTGAAGGCTAAAAAAAAATCAACAACTCATTGTGCGTTTAGAGTTAAGCCTCCATTACAAATCTCGTAAGTACAGCGTAAAATGTTGATAAAGCACGATCATTTGAAAAATGTCTGTAATCTGTATGTACAATTTAGTGTCTACGGGGTGACACCACAATGAGATCTCGCACCACATCAAAATTTTTCTAGGGCAGGCAGTCGCTGGTTCGGCCCGTGAAAAAAGTTTTCTTTCCAATTCGGTCGGGGGGCAAAAACTGTTGGCAATTCCTGGTATAGTAATTCGTTTTTTAAACAGATCATTATTTCAATAATGATCTGTAGCAATAACTATAATACACTACTCGTTCAGCCCATTAATTATTAAACGCTTTTTAGTATCCACATTCTTTGAAAGTTTTAAAATTTACTCTCAGAAATAACAAATATAATTTAATGCATTTTGAAATTAGGTTAGATTAGAAATTCAAATTTCCATTATGTCAATTAATATTCGCATATTTTCATCGCAGCTAATTAAAATATAAACAAAAGATTAAGCAGTAAGTATTCATTTGGCGTGGATAATAGACACGTAGAACTTCGAGGTAACGAAAAAAAAGTTAAATTTTATTTTTTAAAATCTATTAATTATTCATGGAATATTCTGTTTTGGACGCAATTCGTCCTTATCTGAACGTTTTACGCATAATTGGTGTATTTATACCCAAGCGCCAGGATTATTTATGGGTTAAAGCGCTTTTATTTGATGCGTACTTTATAACAATAATTTCGATTTTCGTCATTTATCCGGATCATTTATCAAAGATTTTTATAAATTCGCATGTTGGTGATTTCTGTGGCATTCCCGTTGTGTGGGATATCTACGGAACCCATTCACGCTTATTACTGTTCATTGCACTTTCAATTTCTCCGTTATTTCTTTACCTGTATAATACAAATGCATTTGACATAATAAAGGCGGTCAAAATGCTGGACGAAAACGTAAAATGCGTGAAGAAAATTCATAAAAAATTACTGCATCATCAAGACTTGGTTGTAATTTTTTTCAGCTTCGTCCAAGTATTTGTGTGTTTGTTAGTTGGCACATTGTACGTGTATTACAGGAACACTTACGGATACTCTAAATTACTGTGGCAAGAAAGTTTCTGTACCTTTCATGTTTTATTTGGCGTTTTTATTAACGTCAGCGTAAATTGTTTTAGCGGGGGATTCATTTTGATTCTTACTTACATCTGTATTCAATTGTTAGACACATTTATTATAGACATAAAGGAAAAATTACAAAAGACAGAAGCTAATAGCAAGACATCGCTACTGGAACTGTCGTCGATTGTATATTTTATTAAAAGCTTCGACAAAATATGCAAAACTTTTCATGTTTTGATGATAATAGTTTTCATTCCCGTAATCAGCATGGTAATTATATATATGGCAGTTTACGTAACAATTACAAACGAATATCTGTTTATATGCTTTGCAATATTTTGGATGTGGACCGGTATATTAATATATTTTTTTTACTTGACAAGAATTCCTTCGAACGTAAGTTACTTTTATCTTACAGAAATTCTGTAAATTTTATGTCTTCTAATTACATGAATTGTTTAACGAGAATTATGTAATTAATACATTTTAGATGGAACGGTTATTCACTTGCATAATGGATATTTATTTCTACGACGACGATAATAACAAAATTGTGAATATTCTTTTATAATATATAAATTGTGTTTTTGCCGATTTGCATGCAAATATGACTCAATTTTATTACATTTTAAATCAAAACTCGCGTAACGACAGTACAATGAAATGCATTTTCTTTGTTTTCAGACGGAAGTATTAATGTCCATATCGAGAGCCGAAG